ACACACTCACTCACACAAACACACACACACACACACACACAGTCTCACACAAACACTCAATCACACACACACTCTCTCTCACACACACACATTCTCTCGCGCACACGCTGTCACACACACGCTCTCACACACGCACACACACACGCACTAGAAGATGGGATAGGTGAGCTGCAGGTGACTTCCACGGATCGTCTCTGTGATCATTCCTGAAACCGCTTTCACCGAGATCACCGTCACCGAAGCTGCAACAAACACTCTTACTGATACAATGTAACGGTCTATTCATCATGATAAATATCATCATCAAACTATTTTAATCGCTATAGACAGAAATACAAACAACTTCTATTCCAAAACTGAGAGATGGTTTAGGAGTGGTTCTGGATATTGTGGTTTGAAATTATATTTGGATACATTTAAATGGTTTTAAACAATTTCTGGTGGATCTGAAGTCTCTTGAGATTTATCTTCTTTTTCATCAAAAAACAAAGTAATGAAAAGACCAGATTCCTTGATGGCACATAAAATGTCTCAAAAACTGATTTTCATTTTCTCCATCTGCTCTTGTGAGTGAAGAATTGAATGATGTGATTGAATAACCTGATGTCTTTCTCATCATCTTCAGTTTCATACCAACGAGACCAGAATCAGTTCTTACCGAGTAACGCCACCAAGATCATCATGATCACGATGTGTTTCACGTTCCTGCACTTATACAAATACATCAGGATAGCGAAGAGAATCAGTTCAAACATCTGCAGAGAAAGACAGAAAAAGATTCGTTCTGAAGAGCCACATCATTTATATGTGATTAAGTGACATTCAAGCCGGCCGAGGACTTTATTTCACTTCTCTAGGTGTCACTTTACTAATGCCACCTTCTGTAAAATGTGATGGGTTAGCTGTACTGTATCTTGGTCAAGATTACAACAGACTTACGAAGTAAATCAGGAAGGTCCAGCTGACCAGCGAGCGCTCCACCATGTTGGCCGTGACGTGAGGCGATGAATGAGGGGCGAATGTCACCAGAAAGTAGGTTCCGGTCATCGCTAAAGCACCTCCTGCCAACAAAACACCTTCATTACAAGAACTCTTAAGTCTGAGGAAAGTTGATTGAAATGTGTTCGTGTTACATTATCATGTAACATGTATTATCATGTATTATCTTGCTCAAAAATAACAACTTTATTCAACAATTTCTTCTCTTTCATGTCAGTCTTCGACGCGCGTTCACGACAGTACCATGACACATGCGTGTGATGCTGCTGATGCAGGAGCCGGCGTTCTGACGTAGAACACGCATGCGCTGCGGCTTGTTTACGAGCAGAGGAATGCACACGTGTCGTGATACTGTCATGAACGCTTATTGACTGACACAGAAGATAAGTAATTGTTGAATAAAGTCGAATAAAGTTAATTTTGTTTTCTTTGCGCACAAAAAGTATTCTCGAAGCTTCATAAAATTACGGTTGAACCACTCATGTCACACGGACTATTTTAACGATGTCCTTACTGCGTTTCAGGGCCTTGAACGTTTCAGCTGTGTTGCTGTCTATGCAGGGTCAGAAAGCTCTCAGATTTCATCAGAAATATCTTAATTTGTGCTCTGAAGATGAACGAAGGTCTTACGGGTTTGGAATGACATGAGGGTGAGTAATTAATGACAGAATTTTAATTTTTTGAACTATGTGGGAGAGTTTTAGTGACCCTTTAGCTCAGTACTAACTGGTTGGAGCTTTCTCCAGTCTTGCTTTATATGTATATATAATATAACTTTAATTATTAATTATTTTTATTATTTTCCTACAAAACAAGAGAAGACTGAGAAAAAGTTTACAAGAACTTCATTATGAGACGTAAGAAGGACTCTCTCACCGAGGATATCTGAAGCCCGTAACGTTTCCTTGAGGAACACCACAGAAATGACGGCACTTACTAAAAGAGAGAAACAGAGCCAGCTTTTCATGCTTTTGAACATCGTTTGGAGAGTAAAATACTGACTCTTGAACTACAGAACTGCAGCATTTGGACCTGTGATCAACTGTGTCGTGTTTTAATGAACAGAGGGAAGGTCTTACCGATGACAGACACACAGCCGAGAGGAGCGATGAGTGACGCCGGAGCGAATCCATACGCAGCGAAGTTCCCCAGCTCCCCCAAACCCATCAGCAGGATCCCGCACCACCACAGACGGCTGGTGTAGTACGGCTTCGTCCCTCGCTGCGACTGCCGCACATGCGTGTATTTCTGCACAAACACCAGCGACACTACCACAGTTTAGCAGAGGACCTCTAAACATCAAACACACAGCACCGAAACACTGACAGAGCATTTGTGTGTGTGATCGTGTGAGCGAGCTGAGCATCACCTGGATATTCAAGGAGATGCTGATGAGAAAGTTTCCACATACTGCGATGCAGATCCCCACGATATAAACCTACTGTGTCGTGTTTTAATGAACAGAGGGAAGGTCTTACCGATGACAGACACACAGCCGAGAGGAGCGATGAGTGACGCCGGAGCGAATCCATACGCAGCGAAGTTCCCCAGCTCCCCCAAACCCATCAGCAGGATCCCGCACCACCACAGACGGCTGGTGTAGTACGGCTTCGTCCCTCGCTGCGACTGCCGCACATGCGTGTATTTCTGCACAAACACCAGCGACACTACCACAGTTTAGCAGAGGACCTCTAAACATCAAACACACAGCACCGAAACACTGACAGAGAGTTTGTGTGTATGATCGTGTGAGCGAGCTGAGCTTCACCTGGATATTCAAGGAGATGCTGATGAGAAAGTTTCCACATACTGCGATGCAGATCCCCACGATATAAACCTACGAACACAAAACATCAGCTCAGGGGCATCACTAGTGTGGGGAGATGGGACGGAGTACAGGGGCCCGGAGACGTGATGAGCCAAATCGATACACTGTACATGGGGCCCAGAAAACCCAGTGACGCCCCCAAACCAGCACTTTCCTCATCCCTAAAACACCATTTGCTGAATTATTTCTCCAGGACCAACAAGGATTATTCAAGAACATGAGCTACATGTTCAAAATCAGCGTCACATAGATAGTGCAGTGTGTGCCAAAGCAAAACTTTTCAGATATTTAGCTGGAAAAAACTCAGAACTGAATTCTCAGGTGTAATTGCTGTATCTTAAGTTTATTATTTCAGATTAGAGGTTGTAGTCGCTGTAGGTTGAGTTTAGTTTCAGATTAGAGGTTGTAGTCGCTGTAGATTGAGTTTAGTTTCAGATCAGAGGTTGTAGTCGCTGTAGATTGAGTTTAGTTTCAGATCAGAGGTTGTAGTCGCTGTAGATAGAGTTTAGTTTCAGATCAGAGGTTGTAGTCGCTGTAGATTGAGTTTAGTTTCAGATCAGAGGTTGTAGTCGCTGTAGATTGAGTTTAGTTTCAGATCAGAGGTTGTAGTCGCTGTAGATTGAGTTTAGTTTCAGATCAGAGGTTGTAGTCGCGGTAGATAGAGTTTAGTTTCAGATCAGAGGTTGTAGTCGCTGTAGTTTGAGTTTAGTTTCAGATCAGAGGTTGTAGTCGCGGTAGATAGAGTTTAGTTTCAGATCAGAGGTTGTAGTCGCGGTAGATAGAGTTTAGTTTCAGATCAGAGGTTGTAGTCGCGGTAGATAGAGTTTAGTTTCAGATCAGAGGTTGTAGTCGCGGTAGATAGAGTTTAGTTTCAGATCAGAGGTTGTAGTCGCGGTAGATAGAGTTTAGTTTCAGATCAGAGGTTGTAGTCGCGGTAGATAGAGTTTAGTTTCAGATCAGAGGTTGTAGTCGCGGTAGATAGAGTTTAGTTTCAGATCAGAGGTTGTAGTCGCGGTAGATAGAGTTTAGTTTCAGATCAGAGGTTGTAGTCGCGGTAGATAGAGTTTAGTTTCAGATCAGAGGTTGTAGTCGCGGTAGATAGAGTTTAGTTTCAGATCAGAGGTTGTAGTCGCGGTAGATAGAGTTTAGTTTCAGATCAGAGGTTGTAGTCGCGGTAGATAGAGTTTAGTTTCAGATCAGAGGTTGTAGTCGCGGTAGATAGAGTTTAGTTTCAGATCAGAGGTTGTAGTCGCGGTAGATAGAGTTTAGTTTCAGATCAGAGGTTGTAGTCGCGGTAGATAGAGTTTAGTTTCAGATCAGAGGTTGTAGTCGCGGTAGATAGAGTTTAGTTTCAGATCAGAGGTTGTAGTCGCGGTAGATAGAGTTTAGTTTCAGATCAGAGGTTGTAGTCGCGGTAGATAGAGTTTAGTTTCAGATCAGAGGTTGTAGTCGCGGTAGATAGAGTTTAGTTTCAGATCAGAGGTTGTAGTCGCGGTAGATAGAGTTTAGTTTCAGATCAGAGGTTGTAGTCGCGGTAGATAGAGTTTAGTTTCAGATCAGAGGTTGTAGTCGCGGTAGATAGAGTTTAGTTTCAGATCAGAGGTTGTAGTCGCGGTAGATAGAGTTTAGTTTCAGATCAGAGGTTGTAGTCGCGGTAGATAGAGTTTAGTTTCAGATCAGAGGTTGTAGTCGCGGTAGATAGAGTTTAGTTTCAGATCAGAGGTTGTAGTCGCGGTAGATAGAGTTTAGTTTCAGATCAGAGGTTGTAGTCGCGGTAGATAGAGTTTAGTTTCAGATCAGAGGTTGTAGTCGCGGTAGATAGAGTTTAGTTTCAGATCAGAGGTTGTAGTCGCGGTAGATAGAGTTTAGTTTCAGATCAGAGGTTGTAGTCGCGGTAGATAGAGTTTAGTTTCAGATCAGAGGTTGTAGTCGCGGTAGATAGAGTTTAGTTTCAGATCAGAGGTTGTAGTCGCGGTAGATAGAGTTTAGTTTCAGATCAGAGGTTGTAGTCGCGGTAGATAGAGTTTAGTTTCAGATCAGAGGTTGTAGTCGCGGTAGATAGAGTTTAGTTTCAGATCAGAGGTTGTAGTCGCGGTAGATAGAGTTTAGTTTCAGATCAGAGGTTGTAGTCGCGGTAGATAGAGTTTAGTTTCAGATCAGAGGTTGTAGTCGCGGTAGATAGAGTTTAGTTTCAGATCAGAGGTTGTAGTCGCGGTAGATAGAGTTTAGTTTCAGATCAGAGGTTGTAGTCGCGGTAGATAGAGTTTAGTTTCAGATCAGAGGTTGTAGTCGCGGTAGATAGAGTTTAGTTTCAGATCAGAGGTTGTAGTCGCGGTAGATAGAGTTTAGTTTCAGATCAGAGGTTGTAGTCGCGGTAGATAGAGTTTAGTTTCAGATCAGAGGTTGTAGTCGCGGTAGATAGAGTTTAGTTTCAGATCAGAGGTTGTAGTCGCGGTAGATAGAGTTTAGTTTCAGATCAGAGGTTGTAGTCGCGGTAGATAGAGTTTAGTTTCAGATCAGAGGTTGTAGTCGCGGTAGATAGAGTTTAGTTTCAGATCAGAGGTTGTAGTCGCGGTAGATAGAGTTTAGTTTCAGATCAGAGGTTGTAGTCGCGGTAGATAGAGTTTAGTTTCAGATCAGAGGTTGTAGTCGCGGTAGATAGAGTTTAGTTTCAGATCAGAGGTTGTAGTCGCGGTAGATAGAGTTTAGTTTCAGATCAGAGGTTGTAGTCGCGGTAGATAGAGTTTAGTTTCAGATCAGAGGTTGTAGTCGCGGTAGATAGAGTTTAGTTTCAGATCAGAGGTTGTAGTCGCGGTAGATAGAGTTTAGTTTCAGATCAGAGGTTGTAGTCGCGGTAGATAGAGTTTAGTTTCAGATCAGAGGTTGTAGTCGCGGTAGATAGAGTTTAGTTTCAGATCAGAGGTTGTAGTCGCGGTAGATAGAGTTTAGTTTCAGATCAGAGGTTGTAGTCGCGGTAGATAGAGTTTAGTTTCAGATCAGAGGTTGTAGTCGCGGTAGATAGAGTTTAGTTTCAGATCAGAGGTTGTAGTCGCGGTAGATAGAGTTTAGTTTCAGATCAGAGGTTGTAGTCGCGGTAGATAGAGTTTAGTTTCAGATCAGAGGTTGTAGTCGCGGTAGATAGAGTTTAGTTTCAGATCAGAGGTTGTAGTCGCGGTAGATAGAGTTTAGTTTCAGATCAGAGGTTGTAGTCGCGGTAGATAGAGTTTAGTTTCAGATCAGAGGTTGTAGTCGCGGTAGATAGAGTTTAGTTTCAGATCAGAGGTTGTAGTCGCGGTAGATAGAGTTTAGTTTCAGATCAGAGGTTGTAGTCGCGGTAGATAGAGTTTAGTTTCAGATCAGAGGTTGTAGTCGCGGTAGATAGAGTTTAGTTTCAGATCAGAGGTTGTAGTCGCGGTAGATAGAGTTTAGTTTCAGATCAGAGGTTGTAGTCGCGGTAGATAGAGTTTAGTTTCAGATCAGAGGTTGTAGTCGCGGTAGATAGAGTTTAGTTTCAGATCAGAGGTTGTAGTCGCGGTAGATAGAGTTTAGTTTCAGATCAGAGGTTGTAGTCGCGGTAGATAGAGTTTAGTTTCAGATCAGAGGTTGTAGTCGCGGTAGATAGAGTTTAGTTTCAGATCAGAGGTTGTAGTCGCGGTAGATAGAGTTTAGTTTCAGATCAGAGGTTGTAGTCGCGGTAGATAGAGTTTAGTTTCAGATCAGAGGTTGTAGTCGCGGTAGATAGAGTTTAGTTTCAGATCAGAGGTTGTAGTCGCGGTAGATAGAGTTTAGTTTCAGATCAGAGGTTGTAGTCGCGGTAGATAGAGTTTAGTTTCAGATCAGAGGTTGTAGTCGCGGTAGATAGAGTTTAGTTTCAGATCAGAGGTTGTAGTCGCGGTAGATAGAGTTTAGTTTCAGATCAGAGGTTGTAGTCGCGGTAGATAGAGTTTAGTTTCAGATCAGAGGTTGTAGTCGCTGTAGATAGAGTTTAGTTTCAGATTAGAGGTTGCAGTCGCTGTAGATTGAGTTTAGTTTCAGATCAGAGGTTGTAGTCGCTGTAGATTGAGTTTAGTTTCAGATCAGAGGTTGTAGTCGCTGTAGATTGAGTTTAGTTTCAGATCAGAGGTTGTAGTCGCTGTAGATTGAGTTTAGTTTCAGATCAGAGGTTGTAGTCGCTGTAGATTGAGTTTAGTTTCAGATCAGAGGTTGTAGTCGCTGTAGATTGAGTTTAGTTTCAGATCAGAGGTTGTAGTCGCTGTAGATTGAGTTTAGTTTCAGATCAGAGGTTGTAGTCGCTGTAGATTGAGTTTAGTTTCAGATCAGAGGTTGTAGTCGCTGTAGATTGAGTTTAGTTTCAGATCAGAGGTTGTAGTCGCTGTAGATTGAGTTTAGTTTCAGATCAGAGGTTGTAGTCGCTGTAGATTGAGTTTAGTTTCAGATCAGAGGTTGTAGTCGCTGTAGATTGAGTTTAGTTTCAGATCAGAGGTTGTAGTCGCTGTAGATTGAGTTTAGTTTCAGATCAGAGGTTGTAGTCGCTGTAGATTGAGTTTAGTTTCAGATCAGAGGTTGTAGTCGCTGTAGATTGAGTTTAGTTTCAGATCAGAGGTTGTAGTCGCTGTAGATTGAGTTTAGTTTCAGATCAGAGGTTGTAGTCGCTGTAGATTGAGTTTAGTTTCAGATCAGAGGTTGTAGTCGCTGTAGATTGAGTTTAGTTTCAGATCAGAGGTTGTAGTCGCTGTAGATTGAGTTTAGTTTCAGATCAGAGGTTGTAGTCGCTGTAGATTGAGTTTAGTTTCAGATCAGAGGTTGTAGTCGCTGTAGATTGAGTTTAGTTTCAGATCAGAGGTTGTAGTCGCTGTAGATTGAGTTTAGTTTCAGATCAGAGGTTGTAGTCGCTGTAGATTGAGTTTAGTTTCAGATCAGAGGTTGTAGTCGCTGTAGATTGAGTTTAGTTTCAGATCAGAGGTTGTAGTCGCTGTAGATTGAGTTTAGTTTCAGATCAGAGGTTGTAGTCGCTGTAGATAGAGTTTAGTTTCAGATCAGAGGTTGTAGTCGCTGTAGATAGAGTTTAGTTTCAGATCAGAGGTTGTAGTCGCTGTAGATTGAGTTTAGTTTCAGATTAGAGGTTGATTCCTGCATTATTTTTGTACCTCCATCCTGGATCTTCACCTGTCCTTCCCACAAGGCATGTAAAGAAACAAACACACTGCACCACTGGCAAATGAAAAGAACAACAGACACAAATTCAACACAGCTGTGGTCATGTTCATCTCTCTGACATTCAGCTGCTGTTTGGAGCTCAACGATCAGTGTGTTACGGTCTGTGTACATTCATACAGATCAGACAGAGCTCACACATGACAAAAGTGGCGTTACAAGGGCACAGTCGTGGTCCGGGGGCACAGCACTTTAGCATCGGCCACCAGTGCACGCCACTATATAAATATATTCTAATTAATTATGAACAATATTGACCTTCTTCATGTCAAACTTCATAAATCTTAAAAAACAAACAAACAAACTAAAAACCTTAGGAAACAACCTGACATCAAACACCAAAAGTACTTGACGATAAGCAACCACTCAACAGGCCACAAAATAACACGACTAATAAGGCTTGAATTAAAAGCTCAGTCCACACTTATGAATATTAACAGCAGTATCTTCAACAAAAGAGTTATGAGCAGAAATACATACGGCTTCTCTGGTACAGGAACGGGAGGCAGTGCTGGGATTCTCTCTGTGTGTGTGTGTGTGTGTGTGTGTTCATGCTTACAGGACTCTTTGTGCAGGACAGGACAATAGTGTTCTGTGAGTGTGTGTGAGTTGCAGGCGGGGGCAGTGTGTGCTGGATGGACAGTAGATCTATTATCTTACTTTACAGCACATTCTTGCATGCTAACACTGAGAATGTGTGTTTTAATGTGTGATTGTAAGGTTTACAGTAACACAAGTGGCCTTTGAAACATTAATAAATAAAACGACTAACATAAACGTAAAGAAAAATTTGTTTAAAGATAAATAAAAGAAAAAGCTTTTTTTTCTGTATATTATTTACAAAGGCTGGTGTTTGAACTGGGCTTTTCTCAACATGCTGATTTTTTTTATCATCTCAACTGGAGGTCTAGACATTTACATTTTCTCCCAAGGTTTTTTCTCCATTTGTTTAGCTGGGGACGCTTGACTGATTGCACAGACACTATTGAAGAGAGCTGAACTGGATGATGACGTCACTGAATTTAGCTGGAAAATGACTCTGTTCTTGCCCTCTTGCATTATTGACAAACTATTTTCCTGTTTGACTCTGTAAAGCTGACACAATCAGTATTAAAAATAAAGAATATAAAGCGCTATATAAATAAAGGTGACTTGACATTTATTGATCAAATACTTTTATCCAGACATTATTTTATCTAGTGAAAACCACAATGGCCAAAACAAAAAAAAAGGCTCCTGAGATGCTTCACCCCAGTTATGATCATGGCAGATATCATTACAGTGCGATGCTCTTCTGATCGGTAGAATCCGTGGATTCTTCATGACACTGTAGGATATTTTTCCAAAACTGACTTAAAGTCACCAGCGGTCTAACATTTTAAACTGACAGAAGCGTGTTTTTGTGTCTATCGCCTCCGTCATGTGCATTCTGTCGTGCGCGTGCTGTGAGTGAACGCTGGAACATCGCCCTGAGTTTATAACGCTCTAAACCGCCTCACATATGAATCATATCATGTGCATTAGAAACGGGCTCGGAGCGGAATCACCGCGCTCGGTTTCACCGGGAGGATTCATCGAGCTGTTCGCGATTCTTGTGACAGATGAAAGGTTTCTGTGAGGAAATCTGCCGCTTCGAGGGAGACGATGCAGTAAATGGATATATTGATGGGAGAGCGTCTGTAAATTCAATTCAATTCAAGTTTATTTGTTTAGCGCCTTTCACGATACAAATCGTTGCAAAGCAGCTTTACAGGAAATTAAGTTTCTACAATATATTGTCAGTGGTGAGTATGTCAAATTGATGTGCATATAGCAGAAATGTACGGAAAAATTCAGTTAATGACGTAATAAAACAGACGATGAACACTATTAACAGCAATTATTATATGATGCAATCAAACTTATAGCAAAATGTGGTAGTTGAGTATGTTGTTTCAGGGTTGGCATCATCTGAGGTCCTCTGAGGGGTTGGCATCATCTCTTCTCAGGTGTTCTGGATCCAGACTGAAGCTTGTGGGGATGTCAATCCCGTGGCAAAAACAGAGAAACAAAATAGAGACATAATTAGCTAGCTGCTGTTCCAACCAAGCAAAATTTATTTGTTTAACCCAAACTAAAGAATAAAAATGTGCATTTGATCAGATATAACTACAGTACA